GCGGACCGGCAAGAACTAGTATGGCAGAGGTTCGTAAATACAGACATTTGTATGATTCAGCTCTCAGAGATCACCGTGATCAACATGTTGTTAATAATTCTTGGAGAGAAATAGCTCGCACTGTCGGAAAAGACGAGAACGCTGTTAAAAATGCTGGAATGCCATGTTGTAAACAGTAATTTCTACTTCTACTATGGTGTAGTGTTGGGTGCATGCCATAGAGCTCTATGCTGCCCCCTACAGTTTGGGAGAATATTGGATCACGGCAGAGACGAGCCGCATGAACCATAAACGCTGCGAGTTGTGAAGCGCGTTCCATCCGCGAGCCGCACCACCGCGCGGAAAGTGAATGCGTCAAGCATAAACCAAGCTTTAGACTGCTAAAGGATACAGTGACCACTTTCCACACTTAATATTTATATGGGTACACCTTCATAACATGGGAATGGTTGGTGATATTAACATTCTGTTTGTGGCACATAAGTATATGTGAGAGGGCAAACTTTTCAAGTTGGGGGGGAACACAGTGGCCATTTTGAAGTTAGCCATCTTGGATCCAGCTTTTGTTTTTTCAATAAGTGGGTCATGTGACACATCAAAATTATTGGGAATTTAACAAGAAAAACAACGGTGTGCTTGGTTTGAACGTAACTTTTATGTGTTATAAGTTTCTGACCACTTATAAAACAGTGGACGTGGTCATGGTGGCCAACATCTAGCACACTGCTGCTAACTACCTAAACATTCTTCCTCTCCTGATAAGATTTTACTCTCTTTGACATTGAACGTGCTACTACCAGTTCACCTGTTGAATTAATTAAAGATCCACTAGGATAAATACAATAACGTTTATCTCTCACCAAATAGAATATTTACTAAGAAATCACAATGTAGCCATAGAAACACTACTTGGTGTGTGTGTGTGTGTGTGTGTGTCTGCTCTGTCTTCTCCATCCCCAGTGAGTCGTGGAGGATGGCTGCTTATACTGAGCCAGGATCCTCTGGAGGTTTCTTCCTTTTAAAAGGGAGTTTTTCTCTCCACTGTCGCTGCATGCTTGCTTAGTATGAGGATTGCTGTAAAGTCTCTGACACTAGTCAGTGACTCGATGCGACCTGCTGGGTTCCTTATATAGGAAACTTTTCACTGATCGGCTTAATGACCTGACCTGTACTGGAATGTTTACTGTGTGAAGGTCCTTGAGACGAATCTTGTCCTGCTTTGGTGCTTTATAAATAAACGGGATTGAATTTGGGGCTCTTGCATAGACGCGTATTGGCGTTGCGTGTGTCCACCCCAACACCGAAGGAGAAGTATAAATTAGACTTAAGAAGGTGCTATACAAATATAAGCCATTTACCACTTGCCATCTATAGTCACAAGCTTTGGGTAGTGACTGAAAATATGAGATCACGAAAAGATCCATCCATTTTCATCTGCTTATGCAGAGTTGGGTCGTGGGGGCAGTAGCCCAAGTCAAGAGGCCCAGACTTCCCTCTCACCAGCCACTGGGGCCAGCTCTTCCGAGGTAATCCCAAGGCGTTCCCTGGCCAGAAGAGATACAGAGCCCTCCAACGTGTCCTGGGTCTACCTTTAGGTCTCCTCACGGTTGGATGTGCCTGGAAAACCTCACCAGGGAGGCATCCTGACCAGATGCCCGAGCCACCTCAACTGGCTCCCCTCGATGTGCCGATCTCGAAAACAAGTGGCCAAAATGAGATTTCTCTGCAGGGTGTCTGGGCTCTTCCTTAAGAGATAGGGTGAGAAGCTCGGTCATCCGTGAGAGGCTTGAAGTAGACTTGCTGCTCCTCCACATCGAGAGGAGCCAGTTGGCACATCCAGCTGGGAGGAGACCCGAAGGAAGACCTAGGACACGCTGGAGGTCCCCCGGCTGGCCAGGGAACACCTTAGGGTTCCCCCAGAGGAGCTGGCCCAAGTGGCTAGGGAGAGGGAAGTCTGGGCCTCTCGACTTAGGCTGCTGACCCCGTAACCAGACTCTGAAAAAAATGGAGGAATATTGATGAATCTGCTCTTTTAAAATCAACTGGTTGTGTGTGACTCAAAAATAACGAGCATTCACAAGCAACATCTGTTTAAACCAGTGTTTATAAAACAGACAGGTTAGACATGACATGGGATAAACTGTCTCCCTACACCGACCGTCCACATAACTCACATGATTGATTAAATGAACTTTAGTGGTCTTTTGGTCTGTTTTCAGTTGTGTTACAATAAAGAGAAAACGTGCTGTTTGTTTACTCCAGCTGCGTGGATGGAACCAATATTTCTCAGGGTGTGTGGGATGCTTCAACAGGAGAGGACTCAGCTGACCCCTCACATGCTCGATTTTATTGGATCGACCCAAAAACGCTGCACAGTAGCGTGTTCTCAGCCACCGAGGGTGTTTCCTTGCTGACCCACTGAGAATATGGACATGGCACCTTGTCCATGATTGTTGCTATGGCGATCAGCACCACAAAAATGTATGAAAACAGAGTGTAAACAAATGTGTAAAAGTTAAAAGGGAATACATTTTCCATCTGGGACTA